TGTGCTCCAAGCACTTTTGCGCATGTCGATGAGCGGTCCATGCCGTCATGCGTGCCTTAGGCCGAGCAGATCAGCATCTACTTCAACATCGGCTCGTGTCGGCTCGGTCCACTTTCTGCTTCTATGGAGCACTGCACGTCTCAGGCTCGATTTTTCAGTGCTGAGAGGTCTCAAGTCTCTGAAATCGTCCCTTTCGGAGGTTTGTGAGCTCAGTATGGACTGGCGCTCCCACGTGGACAAAGGGAGTTCGCTGAAGATTGGTGTGTCTTAGCCGACAAACAACTGTGAGCCTGAGCCTCGATCTGAGCCTCTGGGTCTGGGCGCGAGCCAAGGTCGAGGTTCGGGCAGACTGAGCCGGCAGCTCGCAGCAAAGAGTGTCGGAATCAATTTGAGCTCTTCTGTTCCGTATGCGCAAGCGCCCTTTCCACAATGAGTTCACCTCTGCGAGGTCCCTATGATGTACAAGAGTATCGAGGGCCACGAATTCCGTGTTTGCTCCTTGGCAACTGTTAACTTCCGGAAGCGCAGTTCTTCCAGGCCTCCGCGCTGCGGTTAATATAGGACATAAATCTCGTCCGGGCTGTCGGCGACAAGCTTCCAGGTAATGGCCGAAAGCAGCCACCGGATGTTCCGACAAGCACTGCGCTTGCTTGGTCCGCGCCTCAAGTCAGCTTTTCGGCATGGCACATTGAAAGTGTGAATCTGTGTCTGCTCTGGACCGAGGTGCACCCATTGTCTAGGGCTGCGAGGTGCCGCTTAACACCGCTTGATGCACGACCTGTGAGGCTTTTTTTGTATCACCAGGCCAGTCATGTCAGGCCAGTCATGTCGGAAAGAATAAGCTTTGCATCTCGGGCTCTGAACTTTTTCATGTAGAAGTCTCGCCTCCGCAGGGTGTGTGTGTGTGTGTGTGTGCTATACCCCACGATCTGTGAGAAGGAGCTATGTAGCAATGGCGGACATCAAGTCGAGAAAGAGTAGTAAACTGAGTAAGCATAAACCTCGACCTGGGCTCAAGAACCGATGATGTGGCTGGCAAGTAGAGCAAAGAGCCTCTTACAGAATCCGAGAATTGAGTGGCGACGGGTGCTTCAAACAGATCAATGATCAACATTGCTTCTGCCTAAGATTTTGAAGCCCTCGTTTGTCATGCGGATGCTTCTGCAAGGTTCGCGGGAATGCATGATGGCTTGTGAATGTGGTGCCGTATGGAACCAGCGCCGAGTGTCGTCCCAAAGACATGGGTCAACTCCGGCTGGTTCAGCTCGATTATTGGAAGGATAGCTGGCACTACCACCATGGGCCCAGATGACCGTAGCTTTAACTGTGTATTAACAACTTCCAACCGTTCTTGGTCAGGTAGATCAACATCAGCTAACGTTCTTTATGGGCTTTGATGCTTGAAAAAGCAAGCCATCACGTCCCGACGCCGCTTCCAGAACCCTGCATGCTGGCCATTTTGGTGCGAAGACGGGGCCGGAAAGGCTCCGATCCCTTGCTCAACTGGCTTCAGTAGTTGACTTGGGATGTTCTAAGTCGGCAGGTGATGCGCCCACATAGGGTCACACACGCCCGAATAGCTTCAGTTCTGCTGACCTTCCTCGCGCAGTAACGCCATGCGCTGTAAAGGCTCTCGTGCACATGGATGCTTCTGCCCAAAGAGGTTTGGCCGGCTTTTCAAGCATGTCCCCGATGACGTGGCGATCTAAACATGTCAGAACAGTCCTCAGCCCGAGCCCGGTGTCTTCTCTGATCGAAGTCGCCAGTCGCCTCGTCGAAAAGGACTCCAGGTCGCGTCAAATGCGCGGCTGCTTCCGGCTGGGCTGTCCGTCATCTCCATGAGCTCCTGAAAGTTCCCAAGCGGAGGATGGCCTGCAGCCCCCAGCGCGAGGCATCAGCTAGGTGGCTAAACGGAAATTTACCCAGTTTCAGCTGAAGCCTCCGTGTCTATACGCTTGGAAGATGTATCCGAAAAGGCCCAGAGCTTCGGGCAGGGCAAAAGCGCTTGCGATGTATCATTCCCGCCTTTTTCTTGGGGCCGGCGAAGTGGTCGCATTCGCTGCCCTAATGGTGTCAGGTGTATGCTGACAGCACCTCTACCAGCAGCTTAAGCGAAAAATGCGTCGACCCTTCGCGAGAGTCAGTGGGCATGCATGTGAGTGTTGTTTTCCTGCGCTTGTTGATGATGTTCTCGCGAAGTACTGATAGCAGGCTAGCTACTGAAATGAGACTCTTCCAACGCAGCTGACTGAGCCAATCAGCTGAATCGCAGCAGATAGCTGGGCTTGTGCTGTTTGCCCTCGTGCTCACGGTATGATCCCTTCACGGTTGCAGAAACACTTTCTCAAAGGCTTGGGCGTGGAACTTCTGCGGTTTTCAGCTTCAGATCCGCAGACCAGATGCATGCAACAGAAGAAAATCGAGCTCAAGCCAGCACTTCCGCTCGAACACTAAGACACTCAGACGCAGAGGCCATGTAAAAGGTGGTGCCCCCTTCACACTGGCGATCCCAAAAGATGGCTGATCCAGATGCGTCGGAGATCCTGGAAGTCAGGCCTGGGAAGCTGCGACGAGCATGGAGACACCTTGGCTCTGTAAGTGTTGCTGTGCCCTCCTGTGGCCCTCGAGCGAACGGCAAGTCACATGCGCTTGCAGAGCAACGTTTGCACGTCGTCTAAGGTCTCGTAGTACGTCGTAGGCGACCTATCTGCTTGCCTTTGTGCAGGCGGGCTCTGGCCGAGGAGCGGGCGCTGCGCGAGGCCCTGGAGGTCCTCGGCAGAGGGTGGACGCCATGATTGGATTGATTGGATGCCACACCATGGGGCCTTAGGGATGTGGGATGTTCGCTGCGGCCTCGTAGCAGGCAGACCTGCAAAGATCGGCGCAGATTGGTCAAGAGACACTCGGCTGCGCGAGTCGTGAGAGGCCAGCACCATGAGGGGGAACTGTGAAAGCCGAGAGGCATCTGCAGGCACAGTGCCAAGCAGAGTCTACAGGCCTTAAGCCTGGAATGCAGAAATGAGAACCGACAGGTCGTGACGGGGCTCGCATGTGCAAGAGAGCAAGAAGACAATCTGAGGCTTCTTCTCAAGAACGAGGCGGTCCAAGCATTTGGCTTGCACTGTTGAGTGCAACTTGCCATATCTTGCCTTCGCTGCGCAATGCTGTGCAGGAGTTGGAGCAGGTAGCCTCCTGGCAGCACTTGGCGGGCTGGTGCCCAAAGCCAGACTGATAAGGCTGATAAGGATCTTAGCCTCTCACTCAGGTGAAAGAGCATGCGGAGAAGACTGCGCAAGTGGCCAGGAGGTCCCCGTAGAGCTGGTCCCACGAGCCTCCGACACTGCAGTGGGTCAAGCTGTGTGCCAGGGCATCAAATGTGGAGCCTGTCCGGCGAGCCCGCACGGTTCCACTTGGGCCAAAAGAGGCGCTGCGAGAGCAGAGCAACGCCGGGCATCAATGCAGCAACAGTTTGTAAGAATGTAGCGTTTCTTGCGCAGGGAATGCAGGAAGAGAGGGGGAGCACAGAGGGACCCTTGGGGCGGGAATATGCCAAACGGGGCCTCGGAGGCTTTCGCAAGGCTTGGGAACAGCGCGGGTTCAGGCCATTGGCTTGCTTCGCAGAGTAGCCGACTTTCAAAAGGATGCCAGGCTTTCTGGAATGTTTGAATGACTCTGAAAAGGCAAGCTGCTAGACAGAGCATGAGACGGTTATCTTATCGGGCGTGACAGCGGCCAAAATTCACAGGCCGCAGCAGAGGAGGAGGAGGAGAGCGACAGCGAGCTGCCAACGCGCGGTCCCCAATGGGTAATTAGTTGGACCCGACGACGAGGCAGTGCTTGAGAGCGTAAATTGAAGTAGGGCCTGGCAGAATCGCATGAAGTAGAAGGTCTCTCACATCTCTGGGTTGTGAGTCGATTCCTTAATCTTCGGAGTTCTGAACCTGTGCGCGCACACAACAACACAACGCCTACAATGGTCCTATAAGTATGGTCTGCTCGGCCTGCAAAATGTTGGCACACCTCCTGCGATCTTCTCGGCCTGCAAAATGTTGCCCGTGTTGGGCCATTGGGGTCAAACTCTGAAAGCACCGCCTCCCGTGGTAGTCCCGCAGTGAAGCTTTTGGAATGCTTGGCTGAACGTTAACTTCTTGCACCCTTCTACTGCTTTGTCGGGACAGCCTCCTGGGACAACGTAGCTCGGCTTACCTTGCGGATGCCCGGCCGACGCCGGCCTCCATCGCGCTAGAGACAGCGAGATGAAGAGCACCACACTGCCGTTACTCTTGTAGGCCTCAGCTTCTGCGGCGTGGGAGGCGGGCTGGTAAGACAGTAATGGTGGAGGACGGGAGCTTGCTGTTGAGCATCTGGGTCGTGCAAGCTCTGAGAGTTTCCACGCAATCTCGGAAGGAGCTGATGTCGGCCAACCTAAGTCTCCACGACGACCTCATGCGCTTAAAAGACGAGCAATCCTGGCTGCACCCATGTATTGTCCAGAGTTCGCCATGTTTTTCTTGAGATTGGGTGGGCGAAATTTGAAAGTCCTAAAGCAGCAAGCCTGAGGCAACGGCAAGCTGGCTTGAACGGCTACGTCGAGGCACGCGAGGAAGGCATCCAAAACGTCGACGAGGAGGAAGGCAACCTTGTGGCCGAGCTGCAGCATCGTGCCACTTGGCCACACTCAGTTAGCTAAATTGACGACGGTATGGCAAGGGTGGTTAATTTGGCAAGAAATTGGTGCATGAGATGACGGGCGCGCACATAGACAGAATTTCCCGAATGCCCGCACGGTTCAGGTCTCTGTCTTGGAGTCAGGGAGGAGGCAGTTGCAGAAAGAGCTCGGTGCCAGCCAAGAGAAGGCTGGAATTTGAATAGTGAGAGTAGAGCAGCAAGCACAGGATGGCAAAGCCGTTTCGAGTCCGCAGCACCACCTTTTGGGGAGCAACGGGTGTCCGATATGGTCGGCGTGTTAAATCGGTTTTACTAGTAGCATCGCTCTGTGGATGGCGGGCCTTGCAGTCTCCTGGTCCCTGATCGCCGGGGCCTTTTTGGTCAGGCTCCTCTTGCTTCCCTTGGACCTATACAGAAGCACCGACTTCGAGGTGCACCGCAACTGGCTGGCCATTACACACAGCCTTCCCATTTCTGAATGGTACTTCGAGGCGACGTCCCAGTGGACACTAGACTACCCTCCAGCCTTTGCATACTTCGAATGGCTGCTGTCTCAAGTTGCGGTTCTCGTTGACCCTCCGATGCTGCAAGTAAGTAACTTGGAGTACGCCAGTTGGTCCACCGTCACTTTTCAACGGCTCTCAGTGACCCGGCCTTTAGTAGTCTTAGCAGTGGTAGGAGGGCATGCATCGGGACCATCATCGAAGCTCAGGTTGTTGGTGGTGACTTTGTCCTGCTTGCTGGAGGCCTGGCTGTGGGAGGTCCTCAGACAGCAGCTGTGCTGTTGTGGAACTCTGCACTTATCTTGGTGGACCACATCCACTTTCAATATAATGGGATGATGCTGGGTTTGCTGCTTCTGTCGGCTGCCGCCATTGAAAAAGGCCATGTTTACTTGGGAGCGGTGCTCTTCTGTCTGCTGCTGTGCATGAAGCATATCTTCCTGTATGTGGCTCCTGTCTACTTTGTGTACCTCCTACGGGGCCACTGCGGCGCATCTTTCTGGCCGCCGCGACTCCTGCTTGGGAAGTTGATAAAGCTCGGCGGTGTCGTACTCTCGACGATTCTGGTGCTGATGAGCCCGTTCCTGAGCTTGCAACAGCTCGAGCAGATTGCCCAGCGCTTGTTTCCCTTCGGGCGCGGGTTGACTCACGCTTACTGGGCCCCCAACTGCTGGGCTCTTTACAATACATTCGACCGAGCCTCTGGGCCAATTTCAGCAAAGTGCCCACATGTGATTGTAATGAGCAGAGAGATGTGCTCTTTCTATTCACTGAACCAAACCTTTCGAGGTTCTTGCCAAAGTCATGGGCGCAGCAGGTGGTTCTTCATCGACCGCAGGTTTTGCTGAGGTCTACGAGTCTGCTGTGTTGTGGACCGTTCCGCCACGAGCCACGTGCCTCAGCTGCCGGCACTGTGCAGGAAGACTTGAGTGGCAAGCCTGGCCATTTAGCACACCTATCTGAGGTTTATCCTGACATTGCTGGCCTACTGCCCCTTGCTCATGAACATCTGGCACTGCGCAGGGTCAGCCGGCGCGGGGCGCGGCAGCTTCGCAACGTATTTGGCGCTGCTTGGCAAGCTGTAGACTCACGACTTGCACTAGATCACTGGATGTGGGCAAAGCGAACCAAGTCCTAACCCCTGGCGATCCCTCGTCGCAACCACTGCTCAGGTTGGGGTCTGCTGTGGCCTTTTCTTTCGGGTGGCACGTGCACGAGAAAGCGATTCTCATGGTTACCATCCCTCTGCTATCGGCACCATCGCTCTCTGCGTCCAACTTGGTGCTTTCCTCCGTGGCTTGCTTCTCCGTAATGCCGCTGCTGCCCGAGCGTATGATGGAGACTTCCATCAAGTGGCTGCTGTTCCTCTGCGGAGGGCTCGTCGAAGTGTTCCTAAAAGATAGACCTCTTCTGGGACATGCAGGTCGATGGCCATGGATTCTCTTGGGTGCTTCCTATGCCCTGCTAGGTGCCTACCGAGACTTCGGTGGGCACTCGCTACTGTTCCGGGGCAGGATGGAGTTTCTGCCCTTGCTTCTAACCTCCGACTTCTGTGCCATTCTGGTATTAGGCGCCTTCTGCAGAATCTACTACCTGCTACCTTCAGGAAGCAAGCACAAGAAGGGATAGCGCGACTCGACGCCAAGTTTCCAGCGAGAGAAGATCGTCGTCAATTACGCCTTCAGTGTCCGCACGTGGTCAAGACTCAAGACGCCTGAGCTCAAAAACATGATGATGATAAGGGGCTAAGACGTACAACTTTGCTGCCCGGTGTCAGAAACTTCGAAGCCAGCTACTAAGCTAGCGACAGCCAATGGCAGCTGGTGTTTGCATGGCTTCTGTCGTTGAAGGTCTAGTATCTCTTGGTTGCAGCCGCAAGTTAACAACGTTGAGCGCATGCGGCAAGGCTGCACGAGCACACCACCTTGAAGAGGAGCTCGAGGCGGATGGCTTGAGTTAGCGCGTGCAGGTTTGGGCGATGAAGAAGCCAGACTTCTTGTCGGTATAGCCGGTCTGCAGAAGCTGTCTCAAGGACATGAAGTCAAATCTTAATACGCTTGAAGCCGGCACAATGCATCTTCCCAGAAAGGTACAGTGTCAACCCTCTTGCAAGTCTGTGTCTTCGCAGCGAGGCCACCAGGAGTTCACTCCACCTGGCCCAGGGTCAGCTCGCCGTGCTGGAGGCCACGCAAAGTTCCGGAGTCTACTGGGATGTTGCACTGCTGCTCAGAATACTCCCGGCCCGAGTTCACCTGTCGCGGTGTCGTGATCCGCGGAAGCATGCAGTTGTCTTGCAGGAGGCCAATCGTGCGCTGCGAACCTCGCAACAGGTGTGGCCTGTGGGCTGGCGTTGCAAGAACCGTAGTGGATGAGGTTCTGGCCCTCGCGACTTCCATTCGCATGGCCCGCAGTGCTCACGACTCAAACACACAGCGTAGCGGCAGAACGCCGTGACTCTGAAGTTTGGCAACGCAACTTCAAGCTAGGCCTTGCCTGCGAGTTCTGAGAGGCAGAGATGAATCTTGTTCTGTGCCACAGGCCCTCGACACCGAGCGAGCAAAGCTTGCAAGCCTGCTCGAGGCGTCTCGAGAGCAGTATTCTCGGATCCGAAGGGCATAGGAAACCCTCGACAAGTACAGTACACGTACATCGCCTGACAAAGGCCACCAGCGCGTGCAGCGATAGAATCCGATAGCGTCAACTTGCTGACTTGTCAACCTGCTCCTGCTACTGGCCCAGCGCATACTCCAGAGACCGTCTTCCGACAAAAGGTTCTTCACGGCGCACTTCATTATACAACGAAGCCGGCGGAGGTTCTGAGAAAACATGAAGCCGTGAGAGCTTCGATGCGTAATTTAGGATTTCATGTTGGAGCCATGCAGGGCAACAATTTATGAAGGCTTTAACTTACAGCTGGGATCTTCATCCACCCTGCCACTCTTTTGCGAATCTGTTGCTCGGCCGGCGAGAAGTTAGTTGAAACTTTTCCAAACGGGAATTCGGAATTAGCCCTGTTGTTTAAGTCGTGAGACAGAACATACAGAACTATGCAAACGCCTGCAAACTGCAAAATGCGAGTAATTGCTTTGCCAGGCAGCCGATGCTCGCTGTGTCCATCTGGAGCAGGCCGACGAGAAAGTGTGTGTACATGTCGCTAAGCCGCTAAGCAAGCTCAACAAGCGCAAGTTGAGTGCGTGTAGTAGGCATGTTTTGTCCTCAGGAGTTGGAACAGACAACTCTGGCAAGGGCACGGGCCAGCAGAAAATCCACTGGCTCGACTCTTGTCATGTGAGGCAGTGGGTGGCTTTTCTAGGCTTTCATGCTTGTGTTGCGGCAGTCTCGCGGGGGAAAGTTGACTGGCTATGGCGAGTCGAGGGTGAAGGCCGAAGTTGTGAATCTGATGCCATACATCCCAAGGATCTTGCCGATGGATGACGAGGCAGATTTTCGAAAGCCTCCGGCTGAACCCGAAGCCGGCCAAAGTACATGTTCACCCACGCATTGTGCTGAACTTCTCGTTCCAATCATCGCGTCGTGGTCAGGTTGTCCGTGAAGAGGGGGGCGGCGCTTCCCTCGCCGTTGAGCTGGAGCAGGACGGCCGATAATATCAGAAAATCCAACTACCTGTACTGGCCTTGAAAATGAGACAAGTTTGAGCGCCACTTTCATCAATGGAGAATTGTTGTCAGGATGGGCAGGAGAGCTGGGAAGAGGCAAGCACAGAGCGGCAATGCAAAGACTTCGCACGTCAAAGCCGTGAGATTCACAGTAGCTCTGTTTCTTGGAGCATCGCTTCGTTGTGTCTGCAGCTCTTCCTCTCGGTGCAGGCACTTCGCGTGGATTGTGTCAAAGTTGCCTCCGAGCTCCGTGGACGGCTCAGCTCACATTGAATGCCTCAAGAGGTGACAACTGAAGCTTCCATAAAGCGAAATGGCCAGGCACGGAGGTCGGCGCTCTCAGCCGAACTACCGCGAGCTGCAAAGCCTGGCTCGTGGCGGCGAGGCGTCGGCATTTTCATGTGCTGGCGGTTTCTTTCGTGTTGGCATGTACGATGGGAGCCGTAACTCTCTCGTTGTGCGTGCGGCTTGAGGGCTAAAATATCTAAGATGCATGGACACGCTCTCGTACGTCTATGTACCGACTGCATGCATGAACCGGCCAAGCCAGTTTGCCGGAGTCGGCAGGAAGCTGTGTGACGAGAAGATTCAGGCCCCTGCGCTATCCGGTGAGCGGTCGGATGATGAAGCATCGCCGTAGCAATCATAGCAGCAATGGGCCAGCAGGGAGCAGGGAACAGAGACGCAAGCGCAAGCAGAGACCTTCATAGCATATTCGGCTCCAGAAAACCCTCGGCAAATAAGTCGGGCTGGCGACCCTGCCACGGAAACTCATTGAAACCTTGCCGGCAGTCTGAAGACAATTTCTCTGTGGCTTCAGAGTGTGGCACTGCTTTCGCACAAGTCGTCGCTGCTTCCTTAGGCGCTTACAGTTGGCCTGAGTCTCACGCATGGGTGCCTTTCGCATGCGCCACCCACCGCCTACGGCGGCATGGGGAGGGTGAGCAGACCTAGCCATGCCATGTAGTGTGTTGCACGGAGAGATTCCATCACTGTCTGGAGCTGCGCTTGTCAGTAAGTGTCTATCTGTATGTGGTTCTTGGCTTCGCATGTCTCGTCATGGCAGCACTCCCATAGCACGGTGAAGCAAGGATCACATGTACATAGAGCAGCTGCTGTGCAGATCAAAATGCCACAGGCGAGCTGCAGCCAGAAGAGTAAGCGTTTATAAGTTACAAGCCTCCCAGATGGACGCCCGTCCATCTGCGTCACAACAGCACGGGAGACTTACTGTGTGGTGTGAGTACACAAGGCCATCAGCACAATCAGCACCATCGGCACCATCTGCACCATCAGCACCAGCAGCGAAAGCAAAAGCAACAGCAACAGTAACCAGCAACAGGATTAGTGACAGCAGCAGCAGCAGCAGCAACAGCTAGCGACTGCGAGAGCAAGAGCGAGAGCAAGCGCAAGCGCAAAAACAAGCGCAAGAGCAGCAACAACAACAGCAGCAACAACGACAGCAGCAAGAGCCGCGCAATGACAGCATCAAGAATAAGCGTGCATGCTCATGGCTGTACGTAAGCATAAGCAGTGCCCAATGTTGGTGTGTACATGCCAGCCCGTGCGGACCCAAGCGCTGCAGACCCTTTGGCCCAAAAGACGCCAGGGTCGAAGGTGTCGGCTGTCCCAACACCCGATACATGCCAGAGGCTTCATGCACCTGGACAGCAAAGGAGCTCTCAGGACATATGCGCAACGAAGTGTGTCGTATCCACACAGTCGGCCACGTCCTGCAGCTGAGGCCCCCTTTCGAGCTGGGGCCACTCATAGGTGGCGACAAAGAGAGGCATCGTTTGCCAAGACTTCATGAGGTTCATGCCACCAGTCCTGTTTAGACTCAACGTGCCATTTCCAGTGCGCAATCGCAGCTCGACATTTTTGCTCCGAACAGGACAGGATTGTCCAAGCGCCCTGCCATGGGAGACATAAGAGAAGCAGACCTGCTCCTTGCAGACGAGGAGTCGCTGTCAAAGCTAGATGATCACAGAGGTTGGAAGCCACGATGGCTTGTCACCCTGATGTCAACAGCGGCAGCAGCGGTGGCGCTATTCGTGGTAGTGGCAACCGTACGCGGCACGACCGGTAAAGGTAATGCAGACATGCTCTGTACGGCACGGAACTGTTATTCGGCCTCGGAAGGACGCTTAGCCTTCCCACAGCTGTCGGAGTCGGACATCCCAGAAGGGTCCTGCTCTAGACCTTCAACTTTCTGCAGCAGAGATGATGACCACATCGAGTATCATGATTGTGACGGCGATGAGATTTTAGATCCATTCTGCAACAGTGCTGAGAAACTGAAATTTGGCTTCCTGAGCTCTGCCAATGGTTGCCGAAACAATTGGCCAAACGGCTTGTGCCAAAATCAGGATGAGCCGAGTTACATTGCGAGCTTGCGTGTAGTCCCTAGTCCAACAAATGAGATCACCATCATTCACTTCAATGATGTGTACCAATTAGCCGGTGTGTTTGAACATGGCATGCGCAAGGGGGGCATGTCTCGAGCTGCCTACGTCATCGAACAGGCACGGAAACGGAATCCTGACCGGACCTTCGTCGTCTTCGCGGGCGACCTGCTTTCTCCTTCGGTCCTGAGTGACCTTTTCGAAGGGGAGCAGATGGTCGACATCCTGAACTTCCTCAATCTTACTGCTGCCTCCTTGGGCAATCACGAGTTCGATTTCGGCGTCGAAACGCTCAGGAAAAGGATTCAGGAGTCCAGATTCGTGTGGTTAAATACCAACCTTCTGGATGAAGCCGGCGCTTTGTTTCCAGGCAGTGAGGGCCAGAGGGCCCGGAAAGTGCTGCTTTATGTTAGACCGCATGTTCCCAGGCCACCCTGTCATCTTTGCATGCCGTCCCCTTAGACTCCCCAGACCTGGACATGTTACTTTAGAAAAACTCGGATCGTCTGTAACCGCAGACCTGTTAAGGCCCTGTCGCCTGCAGGAACCCAGCACCACAAGATCATAGACATCCCTTTCTCACCACGCTGGTCGGAGGGTGGTGACGTGAAGACCACTCGCGTTTGCCTGTTTGGTGTGGCTTACGATGTGCGAGAGACAATGTTCAAGGACAGACACAGGGTGAACTATGTTTTCCGGCTGCAACTTTTGAAATGCAAATACAAGATGCCCGTAGCACACGGAGGTGTGTAAATTGTAAATGTGATGAAGTCGTTCGTCCAGGTAGATGCGCTTGCCGCAGCCCAGAAGGAGGCCAAGATTCTTCGAGATCAGCACCAGTGCAACATGCCTCCGCAATTGAAACGCCTTGACTCTTGACAACATGAGCAAACTGCTTGGCAGCATATCCAAGGCAAGGTCGTCCTGGCTTTGACTCACCAGTTCGCCTCGGAGGATTGCAAGCTATCCAAGGCTAAGACCGGAAATTCGGGTGCAAGCTTTCTGATCACACTGTCCGGCCCATGAGATGCAGCAGTGCCTTTGAATTTGTTCGGCAAAACTGGCCAGGCGCTGGGGAAAAGCGTTGATCTGAGACTGGGTAGCAGCATGTTTATGGACTGACTGACAGATAGCTCCGAGTTGAAACTTGACGAACTTGTTTTCCAGGAAGTTCAATCAATCCTGCACCCAGGATCTTGGGTGGACACGACCATAGCACAGAGCTCAAGACAGTGTGCGGGCATGCACCCTACGTGAAGGACCGATTTGCCGTCAATATTTGGGGCCATAGACTTTCCATAGAATTCAGGAGTGTTGCCGCTGCAGTGTCAATTTTGCCATGCCAGGCAGACTCGGACCTGAAGACGCAGTGGAAGATGAAGCTGCTGCTCACTGACGAAGGTACGGTGGACTCCGTCGAAGGTGAGCTGATAACGCTTACAGACTTCGACCCATTCTCGGTTGGTGTGTCCCCGAGCGTTACATTAGCATGTTTTGAGCGTAAAAAGAGACGAGCATCTTGCAATCTCTGTCTGCTAGCGTCCTCGCCCACCCCCGATACAGAGGCACAACAAGGTGGTTCAGTGGGAGGAGAGAGGCAGTGCTGAGCTGGCCAAGAAAATCGGCTGTTCCAGTGCCCCACTCGATGCTGTTACCCGACACGTGCGTCAGAGAGAGACGAATGCTGGAAACTTTGTGGCTGATGCCGTCAAGAACATGCACAGGACGCTTCTGACATGACGTGTCCCGCATGATACCTCAAAGCTGGCCGTGGCTTCCAGGACACAGGTGGCCCTCATCAACGGCGGCACCATCCGAGGAGACAAGGTTGCAGGGTCCAACGACTTTTCCTGGAGCAATGCAGTGAGTGTAGTGTGTGGTGTTTCGGCTCCCATCAGCCCGCAGCCCCGACAAGGTCTTCGCAGCTGGCGATCTTTCGAAAGAGATCGTCACAGAGTTGCATCCGTTTGGGAGCCTCGGCAACATTTTGAAGCAAGTTCTCCGAACCTCCCAAAGCCGGTGCTCATGCTGCATCCTCATAGGAACGGCATTGTCAAGATCTATGCAACCGGTGCAGAGATCAAGAACTACATCGATGATTCGTTGAAGTGCTACGATACTTTTTGTGGCAACTTCGTGAACCCCGCAGGGTTGCGGTACACGTTTGATCCGGCAGCGCAACACGGACAGAGGGTCAAAAGCCTGACTTTCGATGATGGAAGGCCAATTCCGGATGATGCCAGTCTCACGGTGGCGCTCACTGACTTTATGCTTTCGACATCCGCTCTGTCGTCGAATCGTCTCTACAATATGGTCACAGTGAATGATGCAGTTCCCCTCGTGCAGGCACTGTTCACGGCAGTTCTTGATGCGGGCACTTCGTGTATCAACCCCAAAACGGATGGGCGCATACAAGACGTGTGACCGCTTGCAACAGAACTTCGAGCAAGGAGCTTGCTGATGCTGCAACCTGTAGCCCGCGAATGTGGTCAACTTCAGCGTGGCAGTTTTTCCCGAAGTCCAGCACTAGCTCCCATATCGCAGTGTCGGCTGCGACTGCAGAAGAAAAGGTCGAGTCACTGGTTGGGCTGTAGCAATGGGTGTCCAGCGAAGTATCCGCCGAGAGTCTCTTGCTGTCGTGGGTGTTAGAGCGAGGCATGGCGTCGTTCACGACAAGTGGCCTTTCCGTCTTGACATTGACACAGAATATCAGGACGATTCCCTTTGCACATCGACGACACGCTGTGTATAGTTTGCATCAGTGTTCAACCGCAGGACTGGATCCTCGTGGCGGCTTCTTGACTGCAGCCTCGGGTGTTCACGAGCAATAGTTGAAGGCTCCAGTTGTCATGTGGCCTTAAATTTCAAACGCCTGGTTCCTTTTGCTTACAGTAATCGCAGGTTTTGGGCAGGTTTTGACAGGACTAGAAGCCTTGGTAAGCTGCAGGTTTGCACGCTGGTCTCCTGCGACTTGGCTGATCTTTCAGCATGCCTACATGAGGTGCTCCCCCTCACAGAGCCAAAGTTGCGCCCATCCCCGTTGCTGTGTGAATGCCTGACTCTTCCCACGGGTCATGTCGGAACCGAGGTATATGGTGCTTACCCTGCATTTGTGGACGTCTGAATTATCGAGCCAGCCGGAGCTTCTCCAGCTTTGTCTACACTCGCCTTCACGTCTACTTCTGCGTGGCATCTCGGTTTCTTGAGCCGCCGAAGTCTCCCAGCGGTCGTGAGCTTCAGTCGCGCAAGGGGTCGCTGCAGGACCGAATGACATACAGTAGCATAGAAGCGGTACTTCACGCCGTTCGACGCCGTGACTCATTCATCATCATTGTGCGGAGCTGCGGAGAACCACAAAATCCGAAAGTGCGTGTTTCAGGAGTACGGATGGGAGGGATGTTGCTGGTTTTGATGGTGCTCTTAGGAGACTAGGAATTTGCCGGATGGGCTGTGGTGCTGCCCCAGTTTCTGTGCTGCGTAGTTTGGACCCAGTCAGTACCCAGTTGCTGTGAAGTCTTGGCTGCCTTGTACGAGTTGCGAGAGTCAAAATCCGAAAGTGCAAGCTAAGGCGACCTACTTGAATGTGTTTATCCTGGTTTTCACCATAGGTGTGTTGCCAGATTGGACAGCAGCTTGGCCAGACAGTTGAGACTTTCACGGAGCGGTTTTTAGTTGCGAGTGGCCGCCCCGTCACTTGTTCGTCCTGAAACTGTCAGACTGATCATGTGTGCTACACCTAGAGTGGTCGACATGGCATTTAAAGAGAGCTCCCTCTGAAGATCTTTGACATACCTTGCCCGGACATATTAAGTGTCTAAGGCCCTTTTGCCTAAGACCAGCATGTTGTTCGCCGTGCTGGAAAGCGGACTAATGAATGACGTCGTAGTTTCGTACTAAACGGACAGCAGACGTATACAAGCATGTGGCGATTGCAAGACGGTCTACCCAGAGTGCTTGAAGAAAAAAGGTGAATGAGTTTTGCGTGTACTTTGTGGGCTTCGTTGACTGGGTCTTGATCCATACGGCGAAGCTGATCACCTCGTTATCCATTCTGCGCCTAGCCTGCAAGGGCAGATCGACCTTTATCTTGGCAAGGCAAGGCACGCTAAGCGGTCCGAGAAAGAAAGAGAGTCAATGCTGCCGATGGTGCAGCCTCAGAGCGCGCACAGCAGGCAGCGAAAGAAGAGTTTCCGGAGCTGGTGAGGGCAGAAATGATCTCACGAATGTTGCGGATACTGTGGCTTGGTTCGTTGTGGGCAACTGCACCCGGAATCCGGAAGGGTGGAACCTGCTGTCGTCTGTGGCAACACCTAGAAGCCCAAGATGCGGCCCGCCTCGTACACAGAGTTTACAACGCTCCCACCGTCCCAACGGAAGAAAGAGTGAGTTTACCGTCGAGCACTTCTCAGCAGCTTGCGGGGTGCCTGCTCCTGCAGATGCCCCATGTGTTTCGGAAGGTGCACGAGCATTCTCATGGTTTGCTAGCATCAGATGGGCAAGGTATTCAAGTGTGCCTCCTGAGGTTCGCATTCTACGTGGTCTTCCGATTCCGGAACAAAATAGCCATAGCTACTGGCTTAGAGCACATCACGCTTATTCGCTTCAATTGGAGGGAAGCTTGGCTGCTGATTCAGTACCCTGCAAATTGCCGCCCATGACTACGACCGTTTGTTGGCGAAGTTTATGTTTTGGCATTCTGCTTGCTACCTTTGGTTGCTTACATTCATATCAGACCCTGCGCATCGCTGTCCTCGCGATGAGAGTCCCGACGTTACGAAATTGAATCCTGCCTTGCCAGATTTTTCCCGACAATTACCGGGGCCCCTCGTGAGGGGTGCCCCGCTCCCTGGAGCGGGAGCTTCGCTCTTGCCCGGTGTTACGTCACGAGAGAATCCGAACACACATCGCAAATCACAGGCACATGAGCCAGCGTTTTATTGTGCACTTGTGCAGGATCTGTTCGGCCTCCGCTCTCGTCAGAGGCCCATCGAGGTTTTCATTTGGAAGGCCAGTGCAAGGGAAGCTTTGCCAATGAGCTCGCGGCCCAATCGTAGAATCTGAACAGCCAAAGCCCTTGAGCTGAACTAAGATTTCAAGCATCTTCTGTCCACTGTAGTGGCTGCCTTGGTTGTTTCCTGGCCGGTAGTTGGCATTTCTTGGAAGCTCGTACAACAGTTCTGTAGAGTTTTTGCATGCCTATGCCTTCTTGCGCTCTGTGAAGACCCAGCCCAGACAAAGTATTGCCTGCTCTGCCGGCTTGCTGCGCCACTGCTTTCACTTCGCGATCTCAGCAGGTCGAGGGGCTGCAGAGTGCATCCTCCAAGTTCACGAAGCCTAACGATCTCTTCGTCGAGTGTCATATGGGCTCCCCGACGCAATGGCAGGAGTGTATTGGCCTGGTTCCTTATTCCTTAGCTCAGGCGAAGCAGTTCCAGGTTTCTGTTGACCACTGCCGATCTGGATCAATCGACCTGCCATCACATGCATTTTCTGTTTGGGGATGGGCCAGCATTTTCTGTTTAGCCTTGCTCTGCAAGGATACAACGAGCCCATGCGGACCCGCGTTCACAACAACGCCGGCAGTGAAGCTGTGATAAGGGAGTCCTTTCAGCTGAACATAGATGCTGCTCGGAACGGCTTTGGCTTGGCGGTCGAGCGCGCGAATGTCTGCTTGACTTCCGTGTCGTGTTTGCATAAACGTGTAAGGAGAACTCGCCGGACACGTTGATGACGCTTCTGGCAAAGGACCAGTCGTTGCTCACCAACTCCGAGATTGCCTCGTTGCCGCAGTGAGTCGCCGTTGATACAGCAGCCAATGCTCAGACTGGCACCGTCGTGTCATTTATTTCTCCTTCCCCGTTCGTGGGCAGTGCAACAGCCTGACCAGCCTGATGCGATCAGCTGCAGCGTTTCTTCTTGGGATCTTGTGCCCGGTACCCTTCCGCAGTGGAGGTGGAGTTCTGCCACATATAAGTTGTGTTGAGCCACAACTAAGGCTCGGTTGACGCTCTCCACTAGAGAGCTGTGTGGCATTGAGGCTGTGGCCCCGCCTCGACACACAGATGCCCGACCGATGTTCAGACTGTCTGGGATCCCGGCAGGATCAGACCGGCAAGCGTCGAAGCACGTTTTCCTACGACGAGGCAGGGCCAGCTTTGTGTCGGTGTCCATGCCCTGTCAACCTAGATGGCTTGTCGAGACACGGCTTTGAAACAGGGTTTGGGTACGTAACCAGACGTATAGACTAAGTGCTCTTGATTTGGCAGGACTCCTTCCTGGAGCTCAGTCTGAATCCATCCGGGAAGATTTGGAGCCTTGGGCTAACATGCTGCCGTTGGCCTTCAAGACCTGCCTGATTGTTCCTGCTGAGGATTGCAGTCGCTCCTGTCGACGAGGCAGCGGAGGAGGAACGATCACTTTTGCTGCAAGAGGATTCCTTGCTGCCCTGTTGAGCAGCGTGCGGGCCTGACAAAGCCGGGCTCACGCAGCCGTTGGGCAGGTCCCTTTACTCAGAGCACGAAGCGATAGGACCAGAAATGGTCAGCGCTGTGCCACAGTAGTTCGAATGGGGGTCGAGTACCCTGTGAGCTTACAGTTCGTGGGACTACCAAACACCGAAACAGGGAGCGCCTGGCATGGCCAGAAACAGCCTGAACTAGGGCAACTAGGGGTTTGCATCAGACATCCCACAATGCACGAAATTCGACGTTTGCAGGCTGGACAGCTGTGAACAGCACCAATTGCCTGGCGAGCGCTGCAGGGGCACAATGACCTCATGTAAGCATTGTCACACACACACACACACGTGCCTGGATGTAAGGAAAGGGTGACCAAGCAGAAAAGGCAGAACATAGGGTGGCATTTGCGACTTAGATTTAGAAGTAGACATTGCAACAGAAGAGTGTGACGAAGACGAAAAGCAGATTTCAACCGTCACTGGGCAAGCAGTAGCAACAGCGGAGTAGAGGCCCAAGCGAGGCGGCGCATTGACAAGGCGATTCCGGTCTTGTGTCCGTGCAGTTGTTTCACTGAGCTATGCCTCAAGCGCCATAGCTATGTGCTGTGGGAAGAAGTTAGGAGCTTGCACGGGGCTATTGACAGCGATCAGCAGAGAACGCCGAACATTTGGGACTACAGAGGCCGAAGGCTTGCTATCTCTTCAGCCATCAAATGGCTCAAGGCTTAAATGTGCCTGTATCCAGACTGATTCAAACTCATGCCAGGATGTTGTTGGATTTGTCACCTGTCCAACTGCAAGAAAGCTCAGCAAGTCCGTGCAAGCTTGGTCATCACGGCCGCCTGCCACAACCTCGACGCGTTGTTAACTGGCAGCCGCAAGCCCCAAGCATTCGCCATCAGTGCGTGAAGGAGCCGACAAATTAGCCTTCTTGAAGCTCCCTAGTACTGCGAGATGGCGCCGCAAACCTGCTTGCCAGCCTTTGGCACCTCTGGCGTGTGGCCTTCCCGGCTTAGGACATCGGTGCAACCTGGCAGAAGGCAGGTTGATGTAGGATGTTTCTTGAGAAGTTTGGCTTCGAAACGTAGTGGATTTATCAAGAGGTAGTGTGTTGATGCGGGGCTCATAGAGTCCATGAGTGCTGGCTCGTGGCGACCACACCACAACCCTACATCGGGAGAATTGGAGTTGCCATATGCCCGCGAGACTTGAGACCCGTGATCCCGGCAAGTCTCGTCCTCCCAAGGCCAGGGCTTGTGAGGACCAGTGGTAACCGAAATTAGGATCATCAGAAGCCTGTGATGCCGGTGGATTTCAATGGTTTCATGCTTATGGCAATATAGCTGACTTTGACCAAGAAGTTCTACAGGTCAGAATGTTTCTGAACCACCAAGCACAGATGCTTGCAAGGCAGCAGCAGCAGCAGCAGCAGCAGCAGGAGGAGTAGTAGTAGTAGTGGTAGTAGTAGAAGAAGAAGTGGCACAGCAGCTACGATCACTGAAGCTAACGTGGAAAGCAACCACCAAGCACATGTGAGGAGCAGCACTACGGCTGATATGATTTCAGTAGTAACGACAATCTCGCCTAACTTAGTCGAGCGCGAGTGCTAAACAACGATGGACATGATAGTACATACCAAGGTAAAACCCTCAATCAGAGAGAGAGGTATTGCACGCAATCATCAGAGCGAGACGAAGAGAGAAGAGAGAGAGAGAGAGACTTTCCATACAACCACCAGATGGAACCGCGACGCCTTGACTACATCCTCGTGAAGCATCTGTTGTGCGACCCCGGGGAAGTACTAAACCACCGAGACATTGCTACATCTGACCATGAAGCCATAGCCGTCCCGCTCACCCAGGTGCAAATCCGACCAGCTGAACGTAAACCTGCACCAGCATGGACAAGCCGCAGTTTGTTGTCGAGCACCAAGGTGAAGCAAGTCTTGGAAGATTCCCAGGGGCGCGGGGGCGACCCCGTTCGCCTCATCCAGGACGTGGCGGTCGAGATCACTCGCCCGGGGAAAGCAAGACGACCCTTTCGCGAAAGCAGCGAGCTCAAACAACT